AACATTCGCTTAACATCTGTTTCTCAGTTCCGATTAGGGTGTCTGTTAAAGAAGCGCACCTGTTAATTAAAACCTGACCATCGTTTCTTTACATTTGTTTACCATAACTATTTACTAAGAAAATTTCCTGTCAGACAAATGATCTTCTTTAACACCGTTTCACTAATTCGACCAAATGGACCTCAGGGACTGCAATCAGGTCATGTATCCGTTTACTTTCATTCACGTCACAGTCTTGGTACTAGTTTTAGAAGTTATTTCACTAAGGTATTTTACTGGTCAGTCAATCAGTGCTTATCAACTTGTTGGCAGTATGTAAATAATTCACTGCTACTTGGAAACATGTGAAATGTTGCTTTTAAAAACACCTAATCCAGTCTCAAGGTACACTGTACAAGAGACAGAGTTCTTAGTCAAAGTCCACAATGGCTTGAAACGATGTGTATTTTCAGAATGCTGTTGAGTGCAATATTTTGTAAATCAGTGTTAATATTACTCAGATAAAGCACAAATGCAGTAACATGTTAACAAATGCTCAGCACCGTTCCACAAATAATAATACACAGCAAGTTAAATACAGGTATTTTAGACAAAATGTATATATACATAAAATTTTAAGGTCAAAAGTCAGCTAACAGAAAGTGATCTTAGCTAACTGCCACGTTGTACGACTGAAAAAGGTACTACTTTGTATAAGCAGTTTTTTTACCTGCGGCTGTAGCATAATCATTAGCATCTACAATTTGAAATTTACTGTCGTTTATCTCGTGTAATTTTGATGACAGAATATTGAAATGGCGCCGACGAAGAGTCTCCGCCATCTCTTAAAGAAGCAGCATTTATAAAGTCAGTTACCCCTCCCCCTTCATATTGCAATACACTTGTTAAGTCAGCTACGATAACTCTGATAAATTTTCTGTTGGCTGGTTTCCGATCTTAAATGCCTACAGCGAATATACAAGTAATAAACGTTGCTTTATTACTCGTTAAGTGATACTCTTCGCTGGATTATGCTAAAGTTGGAAAAGACTGACATGTTTCAGTCGAAATATTGTACTTTATGGATTTTGAAAGTCAGCCAGACTGTTATTATCGATGACCGCCTATCCGCATCGTTCTTTTCCAATGGAGCAGTGTCAGTAACGTTGTCGAATCTGCGTCAGCGTCTGAGCTTCAGCAGAAGATAACCCGAGTCCGGAATGGAATTCGTCGAGGCACTTGACCCTAGGTCATTCTTGGCCTTCCAGGTGTCTTCGGCCGGTCGAGCAAGTGTGCGTCGCTTCGCAGTCCTTTATCAAAATATTGGCAAAACGTGCCAAACGATTGCGGCTATACACCAAATATTTTCGGATATCTGAACTTCGAACTCCGTTGAGTCGCGTGAGCCCAGCGATTCGTCTCAAGAAGCACATCAACCAGTTTAACTGGATTTCGCAGTTTTTCAGTCATGGCCATGACTCATGACCAAAAATGAGTATGAGAATTAAAATCCCCTTGAAGGCAGGCAGCTTAGCGTCAGTCTTTCTTTACCGTAGTCACAGCGGTTTAGGATAGTTCATGTTGGTTTGCCGCTGACCATTCCGATTGCGTTAGAGATCAGTTTTCCAAGGTGCCAACAAAGCAGGGTCGTCTGCATACAGTCTTTGCAAATCGCAGTTTTTCGTCACACAGGCTGCACTGACAGTCCAGTCCATGTACAGTATAAACGTGAGAGGAAAGGGGATGCATCTTTGGCAGAAACCAGTGCTGATGTTCAAATGTCTCAATTTAGTTCTGCCATTAACTCTGCCACGGCACCAGCTCTTAGCATATAGTGATTAGATGGCAAGTAATAATTGGCCATTGATTCCCTATCTCCGCTGGCACGCCCGTGGCTTTTTGTCGAGAATCCGGTCATGTTCTATCTTCAGGTCTGGAAAACATGTAAAACGGATAAGCGAACGCCCATGATTTTTCAGCAACCTGGCATAGGGCGAAGATCTAGTCAGAGGTGCTTCGGCCTATGCGAAAATCACACTACTCTGTTTGCATCTCAAAGTCAGCTGTTACGCGGCACTTCCTTTCCAGCACCACTGCATAGACTTAAGCTCAGTAAGTAGGTTAATACCGCGATGATGGAAGCACTCCCTTCTTGAACAGGGGTACTGCATACTCTGGTCTGTTCGTGCTACATCCCCGTAGTCATTGCAGTTTGACAGATGTGTTAGTCAAAACATGCCTAGTTCACCTTAAGCTTTAAGCATTTTAGGGCGAATTCCATCGAGTCCACCATTCTTGCCACTTTTCAAGGTTTTTTGCAGCTTAGCAGTTTTATCTGCTGAATAATTACTATCCGTTCCATCTTATCTTGAGGCGAGTCTCCCTACACTTTCTCTGGATTAAGACGTTCCTCGATTATTATTCTCCCCATCGCTGTAGTATGTCCTCTTCGTTAGTAAAATAGCGTCCGGAATTTTAGCTCAGGACTTAGACTGCCCTTCTTTTCACCTCGAAGGCGGCAGATGGTCTGCTAGAATACCTTGTTTGCCGTCTGGAAATTCGACTCGCCGAAGTTTCGTTGCGAATGACCTTTCGCTTTGACCGCTGCTTACGCCGCCGTCTTTCAAGTTGCTTCGTTACGCGTTCGAGTTGAAAGCCCTTTACTTCCATGCCACCTCTTTTTAATACAGCCGTTTTCTCGCTGACACCCATTTGAACCTCTCGTTCCCACCAGAAAGTTCGTTTCTGACCTCCAGGTGGCAGACCACAATATTCATCAGTAGCCTAAGCCATTCTTAAAGAACCTCCACTCTGTTTCCACATCAGCGGTCATCATATGTTGTGCGATGTGCGATAGTTTCCCTCTGGTATTCGAAGAGGTAAATGTTTCTCATTAGATCCTCTATTTTTTCGACGTTAGGCCTTTGCATGGTAATCCATCGTTTGCAGCGGGAGGGGATCCCAACAATAGGAAAGGAAAGGAAAGCTTGTTACTGTCGCTCTTCCTTCTCTTTCATGATTGGGCCATTTTTATCTTCGTTTTTATGCCATCAGCTATGGGTGCTTTATTTTAAAGGCAAAGTCTATAGCCATGTGAACGCTTCGTATGTGGTCTCCTGTTTTTTTCCCACAGCGTTGTAGTCATTTATCAAGCTCGGAAAGAAGAAGGACGAGGCCGTCTGGGGCCTTAACCAGGGCTTGAACTCGGGACTTATCGGTTCTGAGTTGGACGCTCTACTGAGTAATCCCAGTCTGAAGCAGTGTGCTGTAATTTCCTTGCTCAAGGGAATTCTTGAATAAGGCAGACATATATTACACTCGAGCGAAATCGAACCCGGAACCTCCAGAGTTCGAGGCGGACCTCTTAGATATTGTGCCAACACTCCGACAACAAAACAGCGATAGTTGGCTGGCAGCTCGAGAGTTTTTTGATTTTCGCTGATTCTGCGGTAGTTTACGACGGATAGAAGTCAGCACATTCGGTCATGCCTCAACATTACATCACCGCGTGCTTCTGGTCGCCTACGGGCCTATTTGAGCAGGGTAGGATTCCATAGCGTTTTTGGAGTTTTATCAGAACGGCTGTCTCCATGCTGTGCAGCAGCACTGACCTGACTAAGGCAACGTACAGACTGGTTTCTGTGGAAGGAGGTATTCCATTCTCAGCCCAAATGTTTGGCAGGTTAGTGAAAGCACTGAAGGCAAGGGTTATTCATCTGTTTAACTCTGACCGAATTTTCTTGAAAGATTCAAGATCTAAGATGAAAGAGTTATCTGATTCTTGGTGCATTGCAAAGAAACCCGAACGTGAAACAGAGATGGAAAGGTTTCACTTACAGTCGATGCGTTTCGTTATCGTCACCGGTAGGAACATGACGACTGAACAAATGAAAAATTCAAGTCAAGGTTTTTTCCTCAAAACGAAAACTAACGGAACGAAGCCAATGCTGTGCGAACGATGTAACGTCGGGTCTATGTCAGACTAACGAAGTCCAGAA